ACATCTTTTTCGAGCTGCATTCCAATCGTGGCACAGACGGTCCCGGCCAAAAATCCCAAAAACCGAACATCTCCTTCTTCGTCCAAGCAAGTTGCTACCATTGCCCAACCGCTAAGTCCTCGCTCTGCCGTTAGAGAGCCGTCTGGAAACAAAGCAATGGGACCCATCGGCACCTCGCTAGGCGCAGCCGCCCCCAGCGCGAACTCCGCCTCCGCCTTGAGCTGGACTTCCCCTACCTCCCTCAAAAGGCAAAGAGGCGGCATCTCACCAATGCATCGAACGATCCGATCGGCACCCGAGAAATCGCATTTGGCATAGCCGTCGATGCCCACCAGCAGCGCCTCTAAACTTATGACTGTTTTTGGTGTAGTGCAGGCCTGACCCGATCCCCCATCCTCGGGCAAACCATCGCACTCATCAACAACAAACGTGCGAACCTCGGTCTCTCCCCAAGAGACTCGAGTTCTGCTGCGCTCGGCGGAAGCGGAGGCCGCGCTGGGCATGATGCACGTGCCTGGCGACTCGCAAACGACTTGAAAACTCGGACTGCCAGCGCTGACCGTAGACAAGCATAGGTCCCAGCCTGTCACGGAGCTCTCGTCCGAAGCGGTGTCGTCTCCCCCCCGCCGCCCAAGCTCGCCCACGCAGTCCCACCCACCCATATCGCTATCGGCAGATGCGTCAGACGCGCACGGCGAGCATATGATCCAACCTTGCTGCTCCGCAACTGGGCTCCCAGCACTCAGTTGCACGAAGCTCGTGTCTGATGCATCTGCATACAGGTCGTCATCTGTGTCATATTCATGCACGCCCGAAGCCCCAGCGTGCCCAGCCATGTATCCAAATGACATGCTGGAATCGAGTGAAACGTTATCGTCCGTCATCTGAGTGCCTGCTGCCTCTGCAACAGGCTGCGTCTGTGCTGCCGAGCTGTCTGCTCCCGCTGACGGTTGAAAGTCATGCGCATCGTTAAAGGCATGCTGCAGTTGCCTGGGCGTGAGCGGATCTTCAAAATGCAGGAAAGACTCCCAGAACAGATTCGCTCGCGTCCTGGCTGCATCCCCTTCGGCAGTGGTTAAAAGCGACATGCCCGACGCCTCTGCTTGCCACTGATCCCGCGTCATCTGCAGTGCGGCAAGGGCGTGTACGATATGCTCGTGCCACTCATCAGCGTGCGTGCTATTAACTGTCCTACGCCTCAGACGGTTCAACCTGCTAGTGTACTCGTCACGATCATGCTGTGCCAACGCCCAAGCACGGTCACATATATCGCGAGCTGCTATCACGCATGCCTGTGCTGACGTGGCAAGCGGCGCAAAGATGGCACTGGTACGAGTTTGCCATGAGACCCAGGCAACGCACTCGTCCATCCAACTATCATACGCTACATCAATGCCCTGCATGTGGGCCATGGTCGACCACGGTCGGCTCTGGCCTGCAAGTGATCTGGCTAGCACGCTGGCTGCGTGCTCGGCTGCACCCATGCCCAGGTGCGCACTACAAGATTTACGTGTTGCAAAAAGGTCGGGATGATATTCCCGCCGCAAACCAGGTGGAGAGGTGCCAGCTGTGGCTCCTCATCATTACCTGCCAACAGAGGCGTCATGGGCACACCTGCCCAGTCAGTAGTGAACGAACTCCTCGAGGCTGTCGACGGTGCTGCAACATCCCTGCGTGCATCGTCTTCTGGCTCGAGTCTGGTCGAACTCACGCACCTCCGTCTGCTGGAGTCGCTGCTGCCGCCGCGGCTGCGGTGCGCGCCTCGGGCACCGAGGCCGCCCCTGCTCTCTTCTCCTTTCTCGGCGGAGAAGCCGTCGTTTTGTCCACCTCGATCATCGTCTTGTCCGCCATCCCGTCGATCCTGCGCACCTCCGCCTGGACTGGCGACTCGTACTCGTGCGTGACACTCTCCGTCGGCGCTGGCAAGTAGGGATCGTCGAGCTGGGACGCCGTGGTCATTGGAGCCCACGGCTGCGTCGGCTGTGAGCATTGCGGTCTGTGTATCACTGGTGTCGGCTGGCTGCTCTTGCCCTCGGCGTCGCCTGGCTCCACTGGCGATGTTGGCGAGCAGCTCATCCTTCCACACTTGGACGGGGCCTTCGGTGACGCCATTGCCGTCTTGGGCTGGCCCATGGGCGTCCCTGGCGCGGCATTCACACCTGCTGGTGTAGGCGGCGACCGCTGCGCTGGCGGCGGCGTCGTCTGTCCAGGCGTAGGCATCCCCCCAATCGGTGTCCTCGGTGCCGCTGCCACTGGCGTTGCTGGCGATCTCTGCGCAGGCGGCGGTGTTGATTCCACATCCATGGGCTCCGTCTCTGCAGCTACGGCTTGCGCTGGCGGCTGCGGTGGGAACGCTGGCGGCGGCCTCTGCGGCACTGCTGCCGCTGCCGCTGGCACGGCCTGGGGCGCTGTCCCTCCGCTGGCGCCAGGCGTTGCAACACCCGACGCCGCCGCGGTAAACCCCATCGCCGACATGACCATGCCCATCTGCCTGTCCTGCTGCTCCATGCGCATCATCATCTGCTGCATCATCATTTCGATCGGAGACAACTGCTGCTGCGGCTGGAAACCTGGAGGCGGTGGTGGTGGGATGTGCGACGGCGCTGGACATGGTGCCGCACCCGCTGGCACACCAAAACGCCCAGGCGGCTGCTGCAGCCCTTGCCCATGCTGGGCGGCTGCGGCTGCCTGCATCTCCATCTCCTCTTCTTGGCGCTGCACCTCCAGCTCTGCCAGGTAGTCGTCCAGCTTGTTCACTTCGTCGCATAGCTCCTCTTCCTGCGTCTGATATGTGGCGATACGGGCTCTGGTATTGCTTAACTTGTCGATCGTGGCCTTCTTCTTGGCACGCATGGCTTCGATCTGCTGCCATGTTGGCTGGGTCGAACCCATCATGCACTTGAGCACGCTGAGCTTCTCGTCGAGCTTGGTCGCCTCTCCCTCGTCCGCCGCCCTTCTCGCCGCCATCGCCATCTTCGCATACTCCACCATGCGGTTGCGGGTCGCATCCTGAAGCTGCTTCTGCGCCATGGGCTCCACTGGCGGTTCGTGGTAGAGCTGGCCGAAGTCTGCGGCCTCGGCCTTTGTCATCGGGACGATCCTGGAGATGTACATTTTCACCTGCTTGTCGACTGGCTGTGACTTCGGCTTGCGGCTGGCACTGCGATCCCTTCGATCCCGTCTGTCGCGCTCTGCCCGTGCATCTGCTGCCATCTGATCCCTTTGTACATATTGACGTTGCCCACGGGCGATCGATGCTGACGGCGGCCGAGCAACCTCCCCTTGGCGCAGACGATTCTGATGATGACCTCCGCACAAGCAACGCTGGTGATTCTTGACGTACCGCCCGCATGGGCAGTTCCAGTGTCCGAAGTTTGTCATGGCCGAATGGTGTTGCTGGAGCACCTCTGTCGCACGGAGCACTGCCAACAGGACTCGTGCTCTTGTTCGCCGTCTTCTCAACCTCTTGTGCCAGGATGCCTCCTTGGCTGTCGCAGACTGGGAATGTGTGGGATTGTGAGATGTATTCTTCGCCGTAATCGCGCGCGCCCCAGTCACCAGCAATGCAGCTGAAACTGGCCAGGGGCGCGGCGCCTAAGCCCCGAGCTCACAGGCACTTCGGATGCCTGAGCCCAGGATGGCTTTGCTCCTGCTCCTGCTCCTGCTCCCGCTCCTCCTCCTCCTCCTCCTCCTCCTCCTCCTCCTCCTCCACGTGTCTATTCCTCCTCCTCCTCCTCTTCCTCCACCTCTTCCTCCTCCTCTTCTTCCTCATTCTCCTCTTCCTCCTCCTCTTCCTCCTCCTCCGCCTCCTCGTCCTCCCCTCCTCCTTTTCCACCTCCTCCTCTTTCTCTTCCTCCCCTCTTCCTCCTCCTTCTCCTTCTCCTCCTCTTTCTCCTCCACCTTCCTGTTCCTCTTCTTCGTCCTCCTCCTCCTCCTTCTCCTCCTCCTCCTACTCCCTCCTTTGCGCGCGCGAACTTGCATCTGTTGACTGCTGTCAAGCAGGAGGGCGGCAGAAAATCGCTAAGAGTATTCCACAACTCGGATCTCATGTCCAGTGTGCTACGAGATAAAAGCAACCTACCCTGTGCACGGGCACGTGTTTAAGAGGGAAGGGGATATGGGATTCCAGAGACATGTACTTTCAACGGACGGCATGTGTGATTCCATGCGCCCAACGGCGTCTTGCGAGACGTAGAGGTCTCCTCTGTGTCCTCCCCGGCGACCAGCTAATGTCCTTTGCTTCTCCCGCGCATGGCCACAACTCGCAATGCCGCACCACTGGTTTGCCTGACGGTTCGAAGTACTTCCGCACCCGGCGACAAACATGTGCCAAGAAGTTGTCCCCCTTGACTGCGCAGCGCACACAGGAACAACAATGCACACGCACCCTGCCGCCGCACACACACACACACACACACACATCGCGGCGGGTGCGGCGTGGATCCGAGTGCAACCAAGAAAACTGCTGCAGCCATGCTCTCCATCAAGCGATCGATACTTTGCCTGTACCCGTGCTCCTGCCACAGCTCCCCCACGGGCTGGGGAGCGTGCCGCATATGAGACATCGAATACCAGAGAACATGAGTTCGTGAATGCTCTATCCCCCTGCCGCCCCGAATGGGGACCTCAGCGGGGGCGTGGACAAAACGCCGACCGCCGCTCCATGGAACAGAAACACAAATAGGAACTGATGTTTTGCACCAAGTCTGAACTCCCGTAGGCTTTGGAAACCTGATCGGTTCACTCTCATCGAGGCCGTGGCCCCATTTGCCCAGGTTCGGCACCCCCACGAGCTCCTCGGGGGAGGACCGCAAATAGCCCTACACTGGAGCGCAAAGTCTTGGAATCACCCACCGTGCCTGCAGTTTCGGGCCCACAGCTTCGCAACTGTAGTTCCGCGTCCTGCGCAGCCACAGTGAAGGTGAACCGACGCATCGAGACTCGGCGCCCCGAGCTCCAAGCCTGGCGATCGTCTCACTCGAGGGAAGGTGATGCCGCGCCTCCACGGACGTGTACTCCACGACGCCCATGCCTGGCAACCGATCAGAATCCACACTCGCACACGGGTGTAGCAAATGAGTGCCCGCAATCAAACTGCATGTCTGACCCTTTTTTGTCCCGCCCTGAGGCACCGAGGACAGACGCAGTACGCGGATGCGAGGCCACGTGTACGGATTGACAAAACTGCAAACAACGAATCCGATATAACATGTTAGCTGGCGTGAACCCTACGCACTGTGTTCTAGCATACCACGTGGTGCAATCTACGTGGTGTAACCTACGTGGTGCAATCTGTGTGGTGCAAACTACGTAATGCAACCTACGTGGTGCAATTCGTGTGGTGCGACCTACATGGTGCAATCAATGTGGAGTGATCTACGTGGTGCAATCTATTTGGCGTAATTCACTTTGCAATTGACAACTCCACTTCTCGCGCACCCATCCCACCCACCCACCCGCAACTTGGCTTGCAAAACCCGTGCGGCGGCGATTGTGATGACTGCTTGGCGCTGGCTGGCGCATCGATGCGGCCGCGCAAGCCTGCGCATGCTCGCGCGCAGAAGGGCCAGCCGGCCTGGCGCGACCGACGCGCCGCGGTGGCGCTGACCGCTGAACTTTCCAGCGCGTCTGGCAGGTCGCGCTGACGCGTGGCATCATGGCGACGCTGACAACGGCACAAACGATGATGATTGACCTGTGTTGGTGTCGGCGATAGCGATGACGACGGTAAGACAAATGACGGCGCCGATGGTGACCACGCCGACGTCGGTGATGAAGGTTTTGGGAGGCATTCAACATGCGCGCGCGGCCGACGGGCGCGAGTGGCCCGCATTGTATCATTTGACAGGGATCGTGCCCCCCCCCCCCATACGCGCGCAAAGGGCCTTCGAACGATTCCGACACGCACGCGCGAGACGCACGTTAGATCGAATTTGATGAAATGTTGAGAACAATGCGATTCTCCAAAGAAGTCGAAGGAGCGCGCGTGCTCAGACCATGTTTGAACAATCATGCTGCACGACCACATGTTTCTAGACGTGTTCGGGAAACTCGATATTGAACTCCGCGTGAAAACAAACAAGTGTTTGACGGATGTCGGCATGCGCGCGCGACGACGCGCGCGTGTGCACTTCGTCTTTTTTGTTGTAAGTGGCTCTCGGACATGACCCATGACTTTTGATAACGAGAGTGCGCGTGTTGCGTTTTCTGCAAAAAGATAAGGGGCCGATGCCGGCTGGGCTGGGATGGTAGCTCCGATGTCTACTGGGGTTTGTCGCGTGCCCCCTGGGCTCCGGCGCGTCTCCCCGCGTGATGTACCCAGAAGGCTCCAAGAGGCCTTCAAGACGGTACAAGAGGGCCCCGAAACGCTGAAATATCGTTCCAAGACACCCAAGACGGTCTCATAATGGCCCAAAAGAATTGAGAGAACGCGTTTCACGGGCGCTTGCCTTGGGAACTTTCGGCGGCGCGTTTCAAACCGGGGGGCGCCCCCCACCCCCAACACTCGGCGCCGTCGATCAAAACCAGGGGGACTCCCCTCCCCCACAAACCCCCCCCTCCCGACCCCACCCCCCCTCCGTGTGTGGGGAATGCCTCGATCACGATTCGTCGATTCTCCGTTCGGTCGGCCGCCTCGGCCGGCCACCTGGGGATGGAAGTTCCCACAACTTACGTCGATCACGATTCGTCGATTCTCCGGTCGGTCGGCCGCCTCGGCCGGCGACCTGGGGATGGAGGTTCCCACAGCTTACGTCGATCACAATTCGTCGATTCTCCGGTCGGTCGGCCGCCTCGGCCGGCCGGCGACTGTTTAGATTGCCACTGGGGGCCAGGATTTGGAGCGAGGGGCCCAGGGATGGCCTCCTGTGGTGCCGCAGGCTGCACGTGAGGAATAAATCGCGTCTCAAGTGCATCCTGGTTTTTGCTGTGTTACGCGGTGCGTGAGGCATGGCATGGCATAGCATTGAGTAGTGGCGCCGGCGGTGCACAATAGTAATTCGGTTGAGGACCTTGGCTCAAGGCCCCGGCCGAGTGCCGCAGGGAAGTCCCTATCGAGACCATGTTTGGGGACTTCTTGAGGACCTAAGGCATAATGTTTGGCGCATTCGGTCGGCACCAATTCGCCTCAGAAGCGCGGGGAGCGTGGCAACACCATCCCCGCGCCAATGATATATTTGTCCTGTTTGGCTCAAGACTCGACGTCCGAGCGAGGAAAACATGCCCGAGCAGAGGAGCAATAAAGCGCGGCAACGCCGTTTGCTCCTCCGTCTCACTCGTACTTGTGACACCCTCCTCAGGCTTAGGTTCCATCTCCCGATCGACGATACTCTCCATAATCCTTTTCCCATACCTCGTTTCAGAGCCCCGGTTATACTTCGCACAGGGAGTGAGTATAGAAGAACTGGCACAGGAAGAAGATCAATGAACAACGATATGATGTATTCTGCGCACCCGTTCGTGGACCAGCACCCGCTGATGTCCACAAGGGTTATGAGCCCAACCGGACCTTCAGCTTCCTTTCCCGCATCCTCTTCGACGACCACCTGGACGCCTTTCTCGGCATGTGTTGCAGGATCGGGCACGTGGATGATCCGAACGTGTCACGCGTGCGCCGACGTGATGACAGGGCCCACTGTCACGTGCCCGGCGTGCCACGCGTCTGTGCACAGCCACTGCGTGGTGAGGCGCATGAGCTGCATGGTGCGCACGAGCTGCGCCAACGAGATGGACTTCGCCATTGCGAACCATCAGGCGCAGTAGAGGATGGCGGTGAGCTCCGCGAGCTTCGGGCGTTTCATGAGCGCCGGCGGCCAGTACGCGGGGCAGGCCATCGGCGCAGTGGCCACCGGGGCCGTGGGAGGAGCGGCCAGGCTGGTGACAGGCTGCGCCGCGGGTGCCGTCTCGGCGATCCGGGGCATGCGCGCGCTGGAGCTGCCGAGCGCGCCTGCGCCGCAGCGCCCGCGCGTCCTCGAGCAATTCGATATCTCGGTCGCGGGCTCGGGCAGCGGCGTGCCGACCGAGATGGCGGACGTGATGGCCGAGTTCAGACGGATGCGCGCGGAGATGAAGGCTCTGAGGGAGGAGAACGCGAGGCTCCGAGGAGGGGGTGCAGCGTCAACCCAAGGCGGGTACGCGACGCCTTCATCGCCTGAGCGGCTGGACTCACGAGGTTAGGGCCGCGAGCACGGCGGCCAACACGACTGCCGAGCACGTTCAGGAGTTCTCCGCGCAGGCTGCGGCGCCGACGAGCGCCACGCAGCAGGAGCAGCCGCCAGGACTCGGCGCAGCTGCTCTAGCCGGCATCGCGCCTGCAGGACATCCAGGAGGTGGTCATCCTCATGGCGGTGGTGTACCTGGAGGCGCTGGGCCGCCTGGAGGAGGCGTTGGGGTTCTTCCTGGAGGTGCCCCACATGGTGGTGGTGGTGGTGGTGGTGGGTGCGGAGTACATGGACTGGGCCATGCAGGTGGGTATCCTCATAGAGTCGGTGGCGGTGGCTTCGGACTACCAGGTGGACCTGGGGGCGGAGGTGGGCCCGGCGGATCTGGAGGAGAATTTCCAGGAAGAGGTGGGCCCGATCGTCCTGGCGGTTTTGGTGGGCAGCCTGGAGGCGGAGGACCTCCACTACCACCGCCGCCTCCGCCACCATTTGGCGCTGCAGGCACCGCGGCGGCAGGCGGACCGCAGCGCGACGTGTTGCTGGAGAGCACGCTCGCGAAGTTGAAGGCGGCCGACTTGCCGCATTTGGCCTGGAAGGGCAGCCTGGCTGGTAAACCGGGCATACTGGAGCATTGGATCCAGAGGGCGTCGCTCGACCTAGGGGGCATGCACCAGCTCATCGAGCGCTACTGGTCGCAGGTGCTGGGCGTGGTGGTGGAGACGTACGAGACGTACTTGCGCCATGGGCCCCTGGACCGCCCCGCGATCAGGCCCATGCAGCCTGCGCAGTTCCCCCTCAATGAGGCTGATGCGGTGAACTTCCACAGCGTGGAGTTGCGACTCCGAGACCTGCTGCTCGCCCTCATGCCTGAGGACGTCAAGCAGGCGTGCTTGAGCACGAGGCAGACGAGCACCACCGATACTTTGTTCAGTGCGTATGTATCGGCTGGGCCCGGTACGGGCCCTGACAAGGACCACACTTTGCAGCAAGTGTCCAAGGGGAGGCACGTCGACGTGAAAGCGACCTGCGACGAGCTGCAACGCTGGAAATTCAGCACCGACCGCCTCGCCACTTTGGGCGTCGCGGCTCCCGACCCCAGCGTGCAACTGTCGTCCTTGAAGGCGATCGCGCACAAAATGCTGGAGTCCAACGAGGAGGTGAAGCACCGCTACTTCGGCTTCCTCGTGACTCGTGGTTTCAGCGGTGGGGTGGCGAACCAGGCCCAGGTTGACGACCTCTGGCGCGCGCGGAGGCGAGGGAGTTCGCGGACGCGGTGCCCCAGAAGGACGACCCTGCCGCGAGGCTCGCGATGAGGCGACTTCCGAAGGGAGATCCCAAGGGAAACCCAAAGGGAGGTAAAGGCGACCCGAAGGGTGGAAAGGGGGAAAACAAGAGGAAGGACGACAGAGGCGGCAAGGCTAAGACCGACCAGAGCCCGTCCAAGACTAGTGACAAGAAGCCCTGCACATTCTTCGAGAGCGAGGGCGGGTGCTCTAAGGGAGCATTGTGTCCTTTTGCGCACCGGAAGCTTACCCCGTCGGATGGGAGATGCATCAACTGTGGTGACCCAGAACACCACAGCGCAGACTGCACGAGGCCGCGCGGTGCTGCGAAGGCTGCTGCTTCGACGCCGACTCCGGGGGGCACTGGGACGACTTCGACATCGACGGCGGCTTCGGCGTCTGCGAAGACGGCGGCGGCCACCTTGACGGCTGTCGACGTTCGCGCTGAGGCCCGCAACGAGCTGCTTGGCTTGATGAAGATGGGCACCGGGAGGCCTGCTGGCCAGGCGGATGCCGACTTTTGGAGCGCCGGTGATCCAAAGGCTAAGATGGTGAACATCAAGGCCAAGGTGATGATCGTGGACGGAGAGCGGCACCTCCTGGCGGACACGGGCGCCACGCACGAGCTGAAGGGCGTCAAAAACTTCGATGCGCGCTACAAAGACTACTCCCACTTGCGTCGCACGTGGGGACCATGGGGTTGGAGATGGAGTGGCGCGGCGCCCATGGCAGGATGCGCCAGCATTTCGGCCACGATGCCAGCACGCGCCCCGGCGGACAGCTTAGCGTCGACTTGAGCGGGCCGCACCTTCCGGGACGCTGGCCGTCGGGAAGGACCGAGGACGCGGGCAGGGTGGCGCAGCACTTCCTCTTAGGGGTGTTCTCGGTGGTGACCGCAGCCGACATGCGGAAGCGAGCTGATCGTGAAAGAAAAGCTCGTGAGGCAGCTGGAGTATCCCATGACGCGCCCGAGATCGGCGCCGCAGGTTTTTCTGTTGATGGCGATGTCGGGCAGCTGGCTGCTCGAGTCGCTGCCGCATTTGAAGTGTCGGAGCTAGGTGAACTGCGCCTCAGAAGCGACCGCCCTGGCCTGGTGGCGGCGAAACCCGCGCAGGTGCCCGACCATCCCCAGAACGAGAAAGAGCACAGAGGCCGAGGTCGCACCAGGGGTCGCCAGGGCCGGCTCGGAGCCCGCCAAGATGCGGTACTTTGTGGTGCCCTTGGAGAACAAGCGCTTCGAGACGTGCAAGAAGGGATTGGGGCAAATCTTGGCCACGATTCGGTCCGAGTTCGAGGGCGCGAACGTGGTGCACCGCATCCACGGCGACAGGGCGAGCGAGCTGACCGGCACCAAATCGAAGGAGTATTTTGCGAAACAGGGCATCTTGGTCACCAGCATGCCGGGGTACGAGCCGAACAACAAGCCGCGCGCGGAGAAGGGGGTTCGGCCTCGTGAAGTTGAGGGCGAGGGCGATGCTGCTGAGCTTCCCAAATCCCCGCGACAGGCAGGACCTCTGGCCCATGGCGGTGCAGCACGCGGCCTGGTGCAGCAGGATGGCGGTTCAGGGGCGGAAGACAAACTGCCTGCGTTCGGGGCCAAGGTCAGCTCGAGGGTGAAGGATTTGCCCCGCGACATGCTGAGCGAGAGAGCGGTGGACAGCATCTTCCTCGCCGTTGACCCCGAGAGCGCGCGGCTGGTTGGGCGAATCGACCCAAAAGCTTCTCGCCCCGAGGCGCACTGGGTGATCGAGTCCTCGAGCTCGTTCGTGATCCACCCAGAGGCGGCGGTGTTGCCGATGGAACTGGAGAGCACGGCAGCGGAGCCTGGACCAGGAGAGGCGCACAGGACAAGATCTCCGATGAGGCCGCGCGGCCAAGGACCCTGGTGAGGAGCACGAGGAGGTAGCAGTGCCAGGAGGAGGATCAGGAGGATCAGGAGAAGCAGGACAAGCAGGAGTTGATGGTGGAGGTCTCGATGGTGATGCTGGCGGTGATCGTTGTGGCGGAGGCCCCGGTGGACTCGGGGCTGGCGAGGCTCTGGACGTCCTCGGCGAGGTGATGCCCAAGGACATTAGCTGCCCAGCGTGCCGGTGTCAGCATAGGAGCCACGCGAGGGACGAGCACTGTCGGCTCGGCCCACTTCTTCGGGACGACTGTGGTCCACGAGTTTTTGATCGTGGAGGTGGTGACTCCTATTCGTGCCCAACGTGCCGAGGACGGCATGCGGCGCATACCCGTGACCATCGGTGCCGACACGGGCCAGGAAGAGCAGGAGGAGGACGTGCAGGAGGAGCAAAGAGGACAGGTCGAGCGCCATCTTCGGCACGCCTTGCATCCAAATCGACGCCCACTGCTGGCGCATGATCGGCTCGTGGCACTCCGGTGGGCCTCCTCTTGAAGCACGATCGCATCAATGCGCGCGTGTGATTCGCGGCCGCAGCAGGCGCCCTGGACGAGGAGGATTATCTATATATATATATATATATACAACCACGTCTAGGCTCTGGAACTGGTCAGCACTCTGGTGGACAGAAAGAAAAAAAAGTCAGCTGTCGCTGGAACCATCTGCTGGTAAGCCTGTGGCTAGGGGGGCCCCCCTAAAGCTCGCAACGTGCGGCGTGCTCCATCACGCTCAAGCGGCGCCAGGCGGCCTAAGCGGAGACTGCTATTCTATAATATCTGAGTTCATTCCAATCCTAGTGCTCTGGCAGCGCCCATCTCTGCAGCATCGTCGGGCTGGGCACGCGCGCGATGGGAGGCTGGAGAGAGGTCGAAGTAATGCCTGGGAAAATCCATGCCCAAGTAACCTGGTGGCAGCTCGTGGCAGAGAGGGCTCTGGTGAGCTGCTGCTGCAGCTGGCATGCTCAATCGGGCGGGCCTGCGCGGGCGCAGAGGTGTGGCCAAACAGAGGAGGGGAGCTGGACCGCACGAAACGCACAGGCTGCCTAAAATTGGGCTGCATCCGCTCGGCGCTCACTTGCTCAACGTCTCGACCCAGCACGACAATTCCTCCTCTAGCCACCCCGGTGGCGCGATGCCCGTGTGGACCACGCCCGCGCCCTCGTTGCGGATGGACGTGAGCACCACCTTGCGGAGGCTCCATGTCCGCATGGCGATGACGAGCTTGGTCTCCGTCGACTTGTAGCACTTCTCGAGCCTGATCAGCGAGACGTCCGTCTCGATGTCCTCCTTGGAGATCGCGTCCTCGCCCTCGCCGCCCGCGTTCACCTTCTGGAGGTAGTCGCCGATGGCCGTCTTCATCTTCCCCCCGATGTCGCACGCCATGAGCGCCTCCAGGAAGTCGATCACCAAGCCCGCGGTGGGGGCCCCCGGCTCCTGCAGCGCCTTCTTCGAGTCGGCCGCCCCACGCAGGCTCTCCACCTTGTTGCGGAAGGCCTCGGCCCCGTCGCCCACGCCGATGATCACCTTGTGCGTGGTCGGGAAGATGATCGTGTCGATCGTGGCCGCCGTCGTCATCCTGGAGCGATGGGGCGTTTGCAGCATCAATTTGGCCATTGTCGAGAGAAGGTCCGCGAGGTTCTTGTCCTTGGAGCTCCACACTTTGTCCGTGTGCTTGCCTCGCCTGCGGCGCCCGCCGCGACGGCGGCGCCGAACTTCCTCGCCCTCGTCCTCCTTGTCCTCGTCCATGCGGTCGTCCTCGCCCTCCGCCCTGGGGGTAAGGATAGTCCCCCCTGGGCCCTTCGCCCGCTGGGCTGGGGGCCTGCCCGAGCCTTCGCCTTTGGGTTGCCTGCCACCACTCCCAGACCCCGCTGAGGACCGCGGGAGGCGCCAGGAAGCCCTCGCCACCGCCTCCCCGCTGGCGCTGGCTCCGCTGGCCATCCTGAACGGGTCGCTCAAGAGGAGCAGGTTCAGCAGGAGGGGCAGGAGGAGGAACGGGTGCAACAGGGAGAGCGGGTACAGCACTCGCCCTTGTGGTAGTTGTCCCTGGAGTGGTGGCCCGGGAAGTAGTCTCCGCCCTGGGTCGCGGTCTCCGCGTCCGCGCAGGCAGACTCGCAGGGCTCGGCGGAGGCGGAATCAGCAATCGGAAGCAAGCCTGCCGAGTCTGCTCACGTGAATCAGCAGTGTCTGAAGGTGTCCACGAAGTCCACGACGCGCTCGCCGCAGGCGGCGAGGGCCTCGCGGGGGTAGCCGCGCCCGCGGCGGCTGCAGGGATGACGACGACGTTCCGCCTATCTTCTGGGACATCGAGCGCGAGAGCGGCATGACGCTGACGCCGATGAAGACCATCCGCACGGCCTTCGGCGCGGAGCGCGAGGAGTGGCGCCAGGCCTTGGAGGCGGAGCTCATCTCCATGAGCGAGAACCAAGTTTTTCGGAAGCTCTCGGCCCCAGAACGGCGGGAAGTACGTCCTTGGGAGGTGTTTCCTATGACAGTAGTGGCTGGGAAGAAGCCTAGAGGGCTGGAGCCTCGGGACCATGGACGTGTCGACCGCGTTCTTGAACGCACACCTGCCTGTAGGGCACCAGCGTGTCGTCGTCAGGCCGCCCGCGATTTTCGTCCAGTACGGCCTTGTTCCCGAAGGAGAGCTCTGGGTGGCGGAGAAGACCATCTACGGACTGAAAATCAGCCCGATGGCTTAAAGCGACAAGCGGGACGTTGACATGAAATCGCTCGTGGTGGATATCGGGGGCGAGCCGCACGTGCTGCGGCAATCGTCTGCTGATCCTGCGGTCTGGGCGGTGGTGCCGCAGCAGGGCGGCGAAGTCGTTGGCTACGTGCTGGCGTACGTGGACGACTTCTTGACGACGGGGTCGGACTCCGCAGTGTGATAGCTTCGACGGGCCAGCTGGGGGAGCTCTGGCGCACAAGCTCGCAGCCGATCGTGAGCAGGTCGGCCCCCGGTACGCTGATGTACCTGAGCATTGACATAGAGCTCAGGGCTGAGGGCACGGTAACGCTCGGGCAGCGCCAGTACACCGAAG